ACCCTCAGATTGTGAGTCGAGCGCCTTATCCACCTGGCCATGCCGGGCTATTTGTCAACAGAAAATAATTTTCTATTCCTGAACCTTACATGCTTTCATCTCTGCAAGAAACTCGATTAATTGTCAATTAGAGAACGAGGTCGCAGACATATCTATCAGTAAGCAAAATTCAAATGTTTTTACTTGAACGAATTTCTACGTCCAAATGAAGCTGGAAAAAAACACAGAAAAAAAAATACGTATTAATTAATGGAGTAGAAAACACATGGTACCATCCTGTGTCACACATACCTGAGATCACAACCCACTATTAATAGATACAAAAAATTAAACTCCACTTTTATAAATGTAATATTACTAAAGAATATTAATGTAAACAAAATTATAATTGTTCTAAAACGTTTTATATGATCACACTGAATTGTGTGTCCACTTAAACTAAGATGTTCAGCCAATGATGAATATGATCCATAATCTAAAGCTATGAAAAGAAATGGAAATGGAATAGGAAACTGAATGATTCAACAATCTTGCAAATAGACAGCTTATTTTCAAAGAGAAAAGATCCAAATTATAAATTACAGTAAGTTGTTAAATTTTTGTGTGTATTTTACGACATAAAAACCAACATTTTTTATTTTGAAAGTACTTTAAAAATTCAAATCATAAATTACATTAAAATATTAAATGTTTTGCGTGTGTTTTACAAAACGAAAAAGAATTCAATATCTATTTTGATTTTTTAAAGTATTTTTTCCCTGAAAAAATTAAATTATTGTAATATTATAAATGAAATTGTTTACACTTTTGATAACTTTACTATCAGAAAACTTATGAAGATTCAAATGTTTTATTTAATCTAGTCAAATGCAATGTACAAAACATTATTTCAAAACAAACCTTATATTATCCTGGTTAAAATACTCAAACAATAAGCTATATCTGTAAGTATAATACATTTTCACGTTCCTGAACCTAAAAAAATGATCGAAATATTTTAAAATTATCGTCTTTTTTAGTATATTTGTGATGCTAGAATAAATAATTTTAATATATATATATATATATATGCTTTTGTTTGTGTTGTTTGCGTAAACCTACAAAATGGATATCTGCGCTAGCCGTCCTTAATTTTGAACTGATAGACTAGTCAACATTACTCATAGACAACTCTGAGATTTGACCGTCACTCTTATAACACACATGCCCCCCAGTGGCACAGCGGTATGTCTGCGGAGTTACAACGCTAGAATCCGGGTTTCGATACCCGTGGTGGGCAGAGCACAGATAGCCCATTGTGTAGCTTTGTGCTTAATTACAAACAATAAACTTATAACACACCACAAAGTGCTAAGCGCAATTTTGCGGCAACATCTTACGAACCGTGGACTCTGAGATTCATAGTCCGGCACATTAACTGTTATACCACGACTTGTCTATATATTTGAATAGCAATTAGTGAAATACTTCAGAAGTTAGTTATTTGAAAATGCATTATTAGTGTGCACAAAAACATAGAGTTTTTTAATTAGTTCTATAGTTGTTAGAACTCAATAGATGATTCAATAATAGAAAAACAATTCGTTTGATTTATTCGTTAAAAGTATTTTGGCAGAAAATGTTTGTGTTCAAATAAATATACATATGTATTATTTATTTAAACTGTCGAAATACTTTTAAATATATAACGTGACAAATTTATAATACTTAAATTCAATTATGAACATTTTTCTTTGAAACTTTGTTTGTAATTAAGCACATAGCTACACAATGTGCTATTTGTGCTCACCACAGGTAACGATACCCGAATTTTAGAGTTATAAGTCCGCATACATTCCGCTGAGACACTGGGGGCTAATATCAAATTATCTATACGCTGATTATACATTTAATCATTTTATTATATAAATTGCTTGTTGGTAATATATCAGGACCGATATTTCACGAAAGTAGTTTACTTATTTAGTTTGATTATTATTGTATATATATATATATATATACATATAATACGATATTTTATTTTGGAAGCTACGGATCAGATATTAAAAGTCTGAAATTATCAATTACTTAGCTTGGCTAGGAATGTTTTTTAGTATTTTAAAATCTCATTTTGTAATCTGTAGATAAATCTTCTGTGATTAAAAAATTTATAACGTCAAACACTGAAATTTATAATTTAATATATCTATTCGAATTTGTATAAGTGAAAACAGGAGTAGTTGAGACTCTACTTCGAGCAGAAAGTTTCACAAAAGACATCTAGCGAATATTCGAGGAAGTTGTTAAATTATCCTTGGAAGTCATGGCGGGTTCATCGAGTGATAATGCTAGTCCAAGTTGTTCTGGAAAGTACAGAGTACTTATTTTAGGAGGTAAGTCAGGCTTTAGTGTATTATTATAATGTTTGATATGTTATAGTTACCGATAATTATTAAGGTTTTAGTTTCTACAGGAGAATACCTGTTTGTCTTTACTAAACCTCTGTACATAACATTATGAATTAGCTTAGGCTACAGTTACAACAATGTTACAATGGGAGCCGCAGTTGTTATGAATCATGTAGTTTCGAGGCGTAGGCTTCGACAAAAGCTAACCCTGACGTGATAGTATAGGAATTAAATTGGTTAGTGCTGATATCAAAAGTCTACGCTGTATGAAGTTGTACTGTAGTGATTTAGACAATTAAAAATTAGACAACACATAAAATCATGTAGGTTTTTGCGTTTATGAATAATTGCACTATTTATGTGGAAAGCCGCGAAAAGGTGTCACACTCACAGGTAGACATGTAAAGAAAATTTCACTGCTATTATTAGTATAAATATTATGGCAGTGTCACTGAAGTTTTTATAACTGTAAAATTTCACTGCTTTTATTAGTATTAATATTATGGTCACACTGAATTGCAATATTCTCTAGACTACAGCCTACAGGAATTTTCGAAATGAGAAGCTAGCTTAAAATAAAGTTAAAAAGCTTAGTCATGACTCATATATATATATATTATGAATATACTTGTGACTTTCAGATAGTAGTAGTAAATTCTACTGTTTCACTGTTGTAATCAAACTTTACTAACAATTGTAATAACTATAGTCTAATATTGCTAACTGAAGCATGAGAGTTTTCAGTTTAAAATTTTGGCACTTACCTCAGTTACAGTAACCTGGGCTATTTAAAATTTTACATAAGTTGCAGCCTCACAACAGTTTTTGATTGTGCACAAAGTTGTTTAATTAATATTAAATTTCAATCAGAGGAATCTGCCTGCTTAGAATGAGACTAAAAATCAGTGACACGCTTTCCTATTGTGTTGGGTAATTAATTGTGAGTGTATTAATGTTAGTAAAATTAAATTTACATAAAATATATGTGAATGGAATACAGTGTGAATCTTGTAATAATCACATCGAAGCCAAAGAGTACTTATAATCAGTGTCATGTTTCATTATAATTGTATAGGTCACTGGTTAGGGCACATTTGGAATATTGTGTTCAGTCTTGGGCTCCTTACCTTAGGAAAGACATTGAACTGTTGGAAATTGTTCACAGAAGTGTTTCTAGAATGGTGCCTGGGATGGAGGGGTTGTCATAAGAGAAGAGGTTGAAATCTATCAAATTGTTTTCTATTGAAAAAAGAAGAATTAGGGGGGATCTAATTGAGGTATTTAAGATTGTACAGGGAATTGATAGTGTTGATTCATCATTTTTTTTTCATATTTAACAGTGAGAATTGTAGAACTAGGAGACACAAATATAAATTTTGGCAAGGTCGGAGACATCTTCAAACAGTTAATTTTCTAACAGGATTTTTGGCCTTTGGATGTTGTGGAATAAGTAAATTTAAGTGTGTTTAAGAGAAAACTTGATAAGAATGATAAGGGCTGGCTTTAAGATTTATTTACTGTTTTAATTTACTTATCAATAGCTTTAGTTTAGAGGATGGAACAACCGAGATGGACCAATAGGTTTCTTGTTGTCCCTTAAACGTTATGTTATAATAACTGTTATTTAACCAGAATGAAAGACATTGAAATATATTGATTATACACATAGTATACTGAGAAGTTATGCTCTGTGTACACACACAAAGTCTACAAAAATGATCTAGTGATTCATTAGGACCTGTAATCTAACAAAACACAAAGTCTTTAACGTGTGGACATGTACTTACTCTATACCTCACAGGTGCACAAGTTTTAGTAGTTTATTTATTTAATGTAAGGTTTACATACATGTATACTATACAGATGTTAAAAGTACTATGTAATAGGCTAGTTCTTACACTTAACATGAGTTATCATTATAGAAGTATTAAATAATATGCAGAAAGTTTAATACATTGGCCACACTTCAATGCAAGTAGTACTGTTAGTTATCTATCTTGGTAATTGTAATCCTACGTTATAAGTGTCCCAGTTGTAATGTTACAAAGTGGAGCCAATCTTTGGTGTTGTATCTGTAGGAAGACCAACAATTTACTTAGGACAAAAAAAGAAGTACAAGGTTTACAAAACTACTACTTTGTATTCTATGAGATTGAATTATCAGCATAATAGACCAGTTTTAATTCTGCATCCTGACTTAAAGGTTAATAACAAATATTGAACTTTTTGTTGAGAAATTTTTCATTTAAATCTTTGGTAAGATTTTGTATTTTTTTATCAATTAACTTTAGATGAATAATAGATTAAAAAGTGCAGTTTGAAAAAATTTAAGGATTAACATGATAACTTCCTGTCATATATTCAAAACATAGAATTTATTAATTTTGTAAAAGTTTATTGTGAATGTAAATGGAAGCTCGAACAAACAGTATATCCCACAAGTCAGGTGATAGTTAGATTTACATTTTATGTTCATGACAATAAATGTTTACTCATATGTACTATTTTAGTGTTATTCCTTAGAGCACTGCCATGGTCACATATATATAGGACACACTGTATATCTTTTCTATAGAACTTGAGAAGTGGGATATTAACCATGTATACTATCCTATTAAAAGTCATGGGACACACCTCTGATTGCAGGAAAATGAGTGTGATGATGAAATATACAAATAGTTTGGTTTATAAGGATTATAAGAAGTTCGCTCGGAAGTAATTTGAAACTTGTACACTGAACAATGAGTACACAGAAAAAGCTAACAGAGTTTCAGAGGGGAAGGATCATTGGAAGTCACTTGGGGAAAATGTCTGTATGTGCTATTATGCAACAATTAAACATTCCCAGGTCAACAGTTGGCAATGTGCTGAAGAAATGAAAGTCCACAGGTGACAATGAGCTCAAGAAACTACCAGGTAGGCAGAAAATACTGACTGACAGGAGCCAACGTGCTTTGAGAAGGCTGGTTAGCTCATCTCGCCATCAGACCTTAGAGAAGGCTGGTTACCTCATCTCCCCATCAGACCCTAGAGAATCTGTTTGGAGACGTGAGCAACCACAGGCAATCCTGTAAGTGTTTCCACAACATGTCGAGAGTTGCATGCCATGAATTTCCACAGAAGAGCTGCAGCCCACAAGCCGTTGATAACAAAAACAAATGCACACCATCGATTGGCATGGAGCAAGGCACACTGATCCTGAACCATGGATCAATGGAAATGGGTTCTGTGGAGCAACAATTCACACCACATGCTCTTCCAGTCTGATGGAAGTGTTTGGATATGGAGGATGCCTGGATAATGCTTATTACTTGAGTGTGTTGTTCCAACAGTGAAGTTTGGAGGTGGAAGTATCATGGTCTGGGTGGTGCTTCTCATGGTATGGAATAGGTTCACTGGTTGCAGTGCATAGATCCATGAATGCTGAGTCCTACATAAATGTTCTGAACAATTCTGTATGTCATACATTATTGCAATTTTATGTTATTAGCCCTTACACCTTCCAACATGATAACGCTCCATGTCACAAAGCAAGGTTTGTGAACACACGGTTTGAAGAGAATAACATTGGGACATTGCAGTGGCCAGCACAGAGCCCCAACCTGAACTCAATAGAACATCTTTGGGATGAAGTGGAATGCAGAATTAGGCCAAAATGGCCCTCTTCAGTAGTAGAGCTCACTAATGCTTTGAATGAGGAGTGGAACACAATGTCACCAGCTTTCTACCAAAAATTAGTAAACAATCTTCCACAACGCATTGAAGCAGTCATTAAGGCCAAAGGCGGGCCAACACGCTATTAATTTCTTGGAATAAAGACAAGTTTTATTCATGACTTTTGGTAGGATAGTTGTATGTGTGTTGGGAATTTTGTACTACAAACTTCTTAATGTTTACCAGTTTCAGATAAGTGGTGATATATTAAGACGTATTTCTGTTTGGTACTGTGTACCTCGAAAATAAATCTTACTTGAAGACTTGTTTATTAGTAAAAATGACAATGAAAAGATAATGATTTAAGATTTCCAGAATTTCATAAAATAATTAACATAATCTTATTTTTGTTATACTATCCCAAAAACAGTTACTTTTTAGAGTACATTTAAGTTATATTTCTTCCTTACTTATCATCATCAATAAGAGATGGTATGTACATTGTAAGCTAAGCCATTAAAATCCTGTAAACTACATCTCCAAAATGAACACATTACTAAACAACCTGTTGATTACATAAAGTGTAGTAGTACAAGTGCTAGAAAATATGTTCCAAACAATCATATATTAAAATTTTTCCAAATTTTAAGAATAGTTGCCTCACTGCAAATTATAAGTTAAATTAAAATATAAAGGTACTTTGACATATCCTCAGTAGTTTATTAATGTGTTTTAAAATGACAGAAATTTGAATACCTTTTTTTCTGATGTTAGAAAAACTTTTATTTTGCTATAAACTACATATTTTCCACAGAGATTATGAAATTTAATTCCAGATTTCATTCAAAAATATATATTATTATCCTATTGATGATTTTTAAGGATGTAAACCTACATTTGGATCATAAGAATAAGTAGAATGCCAGAACGACTAGCTAATAACTATGAACGAAATTAAATGTTGCTTATGTATTTATCCAAAAAAGATTTAACATAATTCAAACAAAACACATTTCTTAAATTCATAACTGATCTAAACACATTTTGTAAAGAACAAGTCTGCATCCAGGCTTACAGAGCTCAAGTCCAATTGTCCTTGTTTATTTCTTACTTTATCCCTCGATTAGAACATCCATAAAAAAATTTAATTTTGGACACTTGAATCATATCATCTCTTAAGGTTTTTGTCTACTGGAGAAATCAAATCCAAATCTTAAACCCCCTCACACATATTTTCAGACTCTGCCATCTTTCTTCTACAAAAGAAACAAAAACCTACACCAACTATTCTAAATTAAGCCTCACTAGTGTTTTTATCTTTGTTGTATTAAGCAAAAAATCTTAAGCCCCCTCACACATATTTTCAGACTGTGCCTTCTTTCTTCTACAAAAGAAACAAAAACCTACACCAACTATTCTAAATTAAGCCTCACTAGTGTTTTTATCTTTGTTATATTAAGCATTTTGCTCATTTTACAGTCGCTAAACATTCCTCCGAAGGCTTTAAAATTTTACCAGCAGTCAAACTTCTGCCATTTTTTCACATCAGTGTTCCTTTCCAAAGTATCATACCCCAAGTCCATACATGTAGTTTTACACTTCAAAGTATTATACCCGAAGTCTATACATGTAGTTTCACGCTTATTAATATTGATAATTATTTTCCATATTCCGACCCTGACAGTGAGATTTTCAAAGTCTTTTAAACAAGAGAAACATTCTCAGAATAATTGGCATATTGATATCCATCAGTTAATGATGAAATATTGTTGTTCAAATCAATTACATAATAAAAAATTAACATCTCAAGTCCTTAGAGGCACCTTTGAAGGACTCCACTAATTATATTTTTCTGAATGTGTAAATGACCAGATAATTCTATCTTTTACTTTCTGCCAACAAATCAATTTTCTGTCCATTGTATAGATTTTTTATCAATTCTATAACATCATCACTTCTTAATTATTATCTTTTGTGTCTTATAAAATAAATTTGTGAAAGTGAAGATGTTTAATGTTAGACAAGCAATTTATGTTTGTCTAAGTAATCAGAAAAATATTTATTTGCTGGTTAGGTAAATAAAATTTACTTTCTAAAACTCTCATGAGTATCGTTATTGAATACCATTTTTCCATTTTTGTACAATGATTTTCAATATCTTGCTAACAACAAAGGTTAAACTAATGGTCTTGTAATTTTCTCATTTTTTGAAAATAAGGATCACATTGGCAATATTCCAAACATTAAGGAATTTCTCCATTCAAGTGACTCAAAAGATTATGGTTAAAATCTTTCATCATTTGTGTGTTCGATCAGGATCGTTGTTTTTTGAAGAAGTTTTTCCAAAATTCTTTTTACTTCACAACTTTCATCCTTTTAAAGAAATCAAATTAGGAATTTTTCTTATTCCTTTTTTATTAAAAGCACTAAAATAGAGTGATTTAGTCTTCCTTTTATTCTGTAATAAAGTTCTCTCCCATATATTAAAAAATTGTATCATTGTTTCTTATTTATTTGCAGCATACATTAAATATTAAAATGTGTGTGTGTGTGTATTTAGCCTCTTTTACTTTAATAAGCTCTCCCCTCCTCTTGTTTTTATCCATATCAGTAAACCCCAGAA